TACTTCAAAATCTGTAACAAGATCAAATCGCCTCCGAGGCAATATTACGACAGTCTGCTGTAAAAGCAAATTGATTTTCTATTTTTGATTGCACTAAAAGTAAAAATTCAATGAAACAAAAGAAAGTGCTGAAGATCATCAGCACCAAGTATGTTTAATAAAAAAAAGATAATATTAATTTTAAAGTAATGGTACATGTCATATCCCACTAAACCATTACCAGGTTAAATTGTATCAATTTCCAGATTCTATTAACTCTTAGCTGGCACTGAGAGATATGAGACGACCCCAGCTAATTCAGTTTTTTTCCTTTTTGGCTAAAATTCGTCTCTTCAACTCTCCAAATAAACACCTTTTTTGAAACCACGATTTTTGTACTATTCTTTCCTCTAAAATGTTCAATCTCAAGAGTGTCCAGGTAAACTTTTAATTTTTTATATGAAAATTTGAAAAAATTATGAATTTCTTTGTGAAAACTTATTTTTTCGATTTTTCTACGATTTTCAATTTTTTTTTCATGCTCAATATTTAATTTTACTGAAATTAGCTATGAAATATGTTAAAACAACTTTCAAAGATTATCTAGGAATTTTGTCAAGTTAGAATACTGAATAGCTTCTTTGCAAGAAATATTTTACTGGATAGTCTTAAACATCCCAATGTGCCAGTCATGTTATTCTGGTGAAGTATGTCAGCTAAGGGTTAATAAACGTTGCACAGACGATCATGTAATGTAGCAGCGTATTTTTTCCACATCAGATTGATTCGATACATACATATTTATTAGCAACGGTTTATACTGGAGAGTTAGGACGAGGCGCGGCAAGCTTCGAAAACCTCCTCTGAGGGTCTGAGCCCGAGTATGGCTGGAGGGCAATGAAAATTTAAATTAGAGCAGAAATTAAATCCGACCTTTATCCGATATTGAGAAAATCCTTTGGATCCGAGCAGACTGTCTGACGTCTCACTATCTAATACGTCTTTCCCCCACTGCTTTGTATGTGTAGGTCTATGATTGCGCGCAACGTCTACGTACACGTGACGAACTGATGTCGCGTTTCTCACCCTCTTCATAATCAGTAATTAAGAAAATAATTAGCATCGATTGAAGCGGTCGTCTCTAATGCACACTCGTTCTTAAAGGGGCTCAACACTGTAACTCTCTTCAAAACACACTACTTTTTATGAATTTATATTGAAATACGTGTTATACAGGGTGTCCCAGCCCAAGTTATTCCGTAACTAATAATGATACAAAAAACTGTTTATACGGAAATTGCACAGTAAAATGGGAACTATGTTTTGGCACAAGTGAAAAATTTTTTGCATTATTAGTTTAAGAGATATGATGATTAAGTTTTGTTTTTTAAATGGAACTATATATTTTTTTTTCAGATCATGCGATAGTGCTTTTCAAGACTAATTTATTAAGCTATAATGTATACACCCGATTTTAATTAGTTTGCAAGATACATATAACGTTTACAAATATCTCGATTTTCAATGGATACGTCTCGGTTTGAGTAGCAAGTCGTAAAAGCGACCCTATTGTTGCGGTTTCTTATTCTTTGGGTCTGTCATTCTTAGCGTAGACCCCCACTGTGGCACTTATCGCAACAATAGGGCCACTTAGGAATGTAATAAAAATCCAGGGTTAAATATTGATTTGCAACTTGAGAATTATGTGACAAAATACTGTTTTTCATTTGACTGATTAAAAATATATACAGGGTGTCCCGTAACTGGTGGTACAAGCGAGTAGGGGGTGATTCTACGTGAAAAATTGAATCGAAAATGTAGAATAAAATGTTTTCATATGACGCTTTATTTGATAAAAAATAAATTTGAAAATTTATCGAGTACGCGAGTACATGATTTAGTTTCAGTTCGACGGACATGACGAGCGTTGAACAATTAAAACAAAAAATTATTATAGCGTTTGAACAATTATAATTGCACAATTTAATAAGGAGAACACAGTTATGTTTGCAACAACGTGGACATCACTTCCAACAGTTCATAAATTAGATAAATTCTGGAAATCTGTCCATCGATCCATTCACAACCTTTACGAACAAGAATGGAGGTGATCTACAATGAAATCCGTCGAGCTGAAGCTGCTCCAACTGCACGCGTACTCGACAAATTTTCGAACCTATTTTTTTCGAAAATAAAGCGTCATATAAAAAAATTTTATTCTACATTTTAGATTCAATTTTTCACGTAGAACCACTCCCTACTCGCTTGTACCGCCAGTTACGGGACATCCTGTATTACTAGTGCCGCATTAAGGGGATTCTAAAGAGGACTGCAGCCCTGGGCCTCACTTTGCAGGAGGCTCTCTTCTAAGCCTTCCATTTGTTAGGTCAGAAAATATTAAATGAAATTTTTTTACTGTTGTCTTTTTTCCCTATGATTAAATGGTATTTAACTTTTATTTGGAATAAATTTCTAATCTTGAATCAATTTTATCAATTAACAATTAAATCTCGCGAAAGTTGATAATTTCGGAGCTCTAGAAATCTTAATCCGGTCTTATGTATTACCTTAACTTGCATAATATTCATACGTCACATTCTGAACAATTTATTTTATTTTTTATCATGCACCATATTCTTTATAAAATGCATAAATATTCGTAATCTACTGGTAACAAACGATCAGAAAACATTATTTCATTCAGATAACAGCAATTTATCAATTCCACTTATGTAATGTATGGAACGGAGTTTACGAAAATAAGAAGATACATAAATCATGCTGCTACAAACATGTTGCACGTTTTCGATGCATCATTGCATATTCCGTATGTTATAATTCGCCTACTCATTTTCAGTCCAATATTAATATTCACTCGAATATTGTAACATATTTGATTTTAATTTTCATATTGCACATTTAATACTGTTATTGAAGATTAATGATAGATAAGTGATTGCAGTTTCTGTGGTAATCATTGGATCTGGAATCACAATGGAGAGAGCCAGAATTTTAATTTAATTTTGTATTTCTTATTATTTTAATTTTCTAAATCTTATATCAACAACACGTTCACAATCAAAGAAGATGCCGAGGGTCAAATAGTCTATTCTTTATCCCCCTGGACCAAAAAGGCATTCGTAACTTAATACAGTAAAAGCTGGATATATGCAACAAAAGTTTGGCTGGATATATGCAACATCGCTATCCCCTCCACTTGGGGGGATCGCCCTAAGCCGAACCGAGCCGCTCGGCGAGGAAATCGTGTAATATGATCCGACCGTAATATCGGTGTGACTAATACTAATTGAACGATAAAACTTTTTTATTTTTAACTTTTTCTTAATGAAACTTTTACTAACGCATTTGTGAGATTTTTCTGATTGAAATGGTACCAAACACGATATGATTTGAATTATATTTATTTATTAAAATAATAATAAAACTGTAGATATATATAAGGCAGGCCGTACACCAAAGATACATCAAACACGCAACATGCAACATGCAACACGTCGCATGTTGTGTACGAACGTAGAATAGGTAACGCGGCACGGTACAAACGATTTGTACGGACACAGAATCGATACCAAGACTGAATATATGCAACGTTTAAATGCCCAGAATCGATACCTCGGCTGGATATATGCAACATTAAATGCCCAGAATCGACACCTCGGCTGGATATATGCAACGTTTAAATGCCCAGAATCGACACCTCGGCTGGATATATGCAACGTTTGAAACCCGAGCCGACACCGCAACCGGTTTTCATTTCCAATCCTCCTTTTCTTTTCGCCAACTTTTAACATCAATTTTAGCAAGTAATTATAATTGAAACTATATCGTGTTTGGTACCACTTTAATCACAAAAATCTCACCAATGCGCTAGTACAAGTTTCATTAAAAAAAAGTCAAAAATAAAAAAGTTTTTTGATTCAATTAGTATTAGTCACACCGATACGTTTCGGCTCTTTCCTTTGATCATCGGACCTCTCTCTTTCTGCCACTGTCTGTCCTTTTCTACGTTCACGCTTGGCTGCTCGTCGCGTGTAACCCGAGATTCGACACCTCGACTGGATATATGCAACGCCTGCGTCCCAATGTTTGTTGCATATATCCAGCTTTTACTGTACGTGAATATAAAGTGTTGAAAAATAGGTAAGTGCTATGAGAGCCTGTCCGTCTAGCTCGAGGTTTTTTGGTCTTTGCCAGTTAATCTGTTAAAAGCTTCGAAAGTATTTTATATTTTATTTTCATTTTTATTATCACCTTGCTTCCCAAAACCAATAAGTATCCTTATTGGAAAGAAAAAGTATCTATATATTTGATTTTAGGTTAATATCTTTACATATATTCTGTAAGAGTGGGTTACGAGTAACCCAATCTTTGCTATTCCAGGGTGAATGATTAAAATGCAAATTTAAAAAACATAGAATTCAAAATTTATAATTAATTTAGTTTTACTAGTAATATACCATATTATTGTATGTTGCAAGATTCTACTATCACTCATGTATCAGTAACAAATCCTAAAATCGTAATTTCTGGAATTAATTCAGCCAGTGAAATTCTAGAATATTCTATTCGCCTAGTAGGTACGATAGAAATTTCAATTGAAGTTCTAAATAGAACATATTCTACTTGGAACTCCATTAATCATGCTCTTCAATGTAATCTAGCACATGTTAAAGCTGATTTATAAATAAATAATTAAGGCGTATTATAATTAATTAATAAACATGACAATTTCTTAAAACAGTTGCATTGAACAATATGAATCATAACTTTTGTCATTTATAGTTTCCACAACCTTATTTAACAAAATATACCTTCTGTACGTTAATAACTTTAGAAAATGAACCTTTTATTTGTTTTTAAAATTTTCATTATCAAGTGAATTTTATTTCTTTTAAAGGGGCACATTCAATTACTTTGGTGAATTTCGGTCTTTAAAAAGAAGGTACTTTTCTTTTGAATATTAATTAAAATTACTAGAAAAAGCATTGATCAAAACTCACCTTTTACGCCATTGTAGTTTATATTTTTTCCGTCTTCTCTACGCCACATGACATAAGGTTCTGGATATCCTGTAGCCTTACACGTTAACGTCACATTTGAGCCCTCGCGAACGACCATATCTGTGCTGGTTTCTTTGGTATTAATCGAAGGTGGCACTGTAATACAGAAAAGTTTAAAAATTTAAAAATGGATGTCTTTCCATTTTTTCGCTGCAATGAAGTAATTTCCTTTTCGAATTAACGTTCGATTTAATCAATATTAATTAGTACCGGATCAAGGAGAAGGTATATGGGGGGCTACAACGTCGGATCCCTTCTAACAATAAACTTTCTATTTACTATGCTAACAAATATTAAATAAAACACTTTCCTAGTATCGCTTTTTTGCGATTAAGCCTTATTTAATTTTATTTAGAATAAATTTCAATTGTTTAACCAAGTTTATTAACCAAAAGGACCCTCGAAAGTTTGATATTAATATTGAGTTTAAAATTTCCATTAATTATAAAACGTAACTATTACTATTATGATTATTATTATTACAGTTATTATTATATAAATAATACAAGATATGCATTCTAAAGACTTAAACGAATGAAATGTACAAGGCATTTCAATTTCTAAAGAATTATTTACTTTTATCTAAAATTTTGTTTCTATTTTGCTTCACTCTATGGTAGTTAATTGTTTAAATATAATTGTCCTTATTCTCTAACTTCGTAGTTAATTAATTACATTAAAGGTTTTGAACCTGCGATCATTTAAATTTTCTAGTTTAATGTATTTACGAAAATTTGTTATTGACCCTTCGTGGGTGAGCTGAGTCATTTATATGTGATGCGGATTCTACTTTCTTTTGAACTTCGTTCCGAATATTTATTTTTCACAATTAATTTTTTAAGCATTTGACTCAAGGAATAATTATACAAGGTGTCACCGACCTGGTAGTACAAGCCGAAAGAAGGTGAATCTACATGAAAGAATAAGTCGAAGCAAAAAACAATAATTTCTCTATTTAAGGCTTCTTTCTCGAGTAAACTGATGTTGAAGATTCGTAGATTTTTGTTGAAATATGCGTATGTTTTCATATGATTTTATTTATGTTATTCCAATTGTCGTTTGTTACGTTGCGCGTGCGACGGCGCAACGTAAAAAGAAAAGAGAAGATATAGTGGTTAATGGAATGAATTTCAGTTAGAAGGTTGGAATTCAATCCCCTATTCTTTCTTCCCTATTCTGGCGCGATGGTTGGTATCGCTGCCACCAGTCTTGAGCGGGTTAACGCTCTCGACAATTAAAAGACGAAAGACAAAGTTAATAAGATGTTAGATTAGAAATTGAAATTATTAGCCTTTCGTTGGGTTCGTTCAACGCTTTAGGTCCCGTACGGGTCCCTCCTTGAATCTGTATGCGATGGTAGGCGTGTTTTAACTGAAAGGTGTGAGGTGTGTTTGAAATAAATTTTGAAACTGTTTAGGTAAATGAAACTGGTTTAATTGTGAATGAGAAAGTCCAATGAATAACAAAATACAAGAAATGCCAAAATTAAGATTTGAATAAATTTGGAAAATTCGTTAATATTGAAAATACCAGTTCATGTAAAATAATAACAAGGGTAAAAATGCTTAGAATTAATTAACATAAATATAATAATATGAAAACGCTCTGATATCACAGTTGAAACTATTGAGTAATATACCGGTCGCGTGAGATGATTATAATTATCACTACATATTTCGCTTTCCTTCAAATTTGATTAGACGTGAAATCGGCGGTTTTCGCCCGTAAGGGTACACCCCAGCCTGAGGTACTCTCGTAACCCTCGAAAGGGCTGGACTAAGGTGCCCCTTTGACATTAGGAAATTAGAATGGCGAAATTGTAATACCCGAAAAATAATAAAATCAATCGATACCTCGTGTGATGGAACGATCTGACCAGAGATACTCTCGTAACCTAAAAGGGCTTGATAAGGGATGCAAGGCGGATAAATTTCAAATTTTCCGCCGGGGCGTAACACGTTCCAATTTCTTATATCAGAAACTAAGGGATGAACATCGAAACGAAATTTGTTTTTGATCAAATGCAATAAAAACTAGTCTACAGTGAAGATAATAAGTGTAGATGAAATCGACTTATTTTTTCATGTAGATTCATCTCCTTTAGGCTTGTACCACCAGATCCGTGACACCCTGTATATTAAAGTAGAACCCTCAATAAGTAGCCTAAAATCTCTTTCAGATCTTTTAATAGCCAAGAACAGTAAAAAAATGAGTCATGAACATAAACGATTCAGATTGCTAACTGAAACTGCAAAAAATATGCTCCACAGAGAGTTATTTTGTGAATAGTTTTTATTGATTAAATGTCAACGAAATATTTGCAGATATTTATTGAATTTCTGAAATACATTATGGAACAATTCTAAGATTAAATCATAGATTTTATATCTCCATCATTCGATGGGTTATTTGTAATATTGTGATGTAATATTGGCTCAGAGAAATGCTATTATTGATAACCTGTCCTCGACGAGAACTTGTTTGAACAAGGGTTTAAATCTGTGGTTAATTAGATGTTCAGTCTGAAATGACCTCAACAGTAATCAACGTAGATTACGCTAACGAATTTACTATTATAACTTCCTTCGAATTTAAATATATAATTCTTGCATCTAGACTGAAAGTTCACCCAAAACAATTTTAAAAAACAATTAAAAATAACGATTTGACAATTGTTGAATAATTACTCTTCTCTCAGAACTGTATTTGAAATTTAGTGCTTCATATATCAGTTGGAAACATATTCCAATTAGTGACTGCATATTGGAAGCTTGATAAATTCTAAGACAGTTTAACAGCTTGTTAGAACTTGACTGTCTTTAAAACTAATTGATTTTAGTTAATCAATACTTGGGAACTGTTTGATTTCAAAGTGGTTAAAGTTTCATTGTTAAAGGATTGCTGACAATTTAATTTGCTGATTACTTTTTTACTACTATTTTAACATTTTTAGGTTCTATCCCTTCGCCAGTTTTATGAAATGTTAAAAATTTATTTTTTGTAAATAGTGTTTTGAACAAGATGTAATATTTTAGATATTTCATGTAATATTCCTCTAATATGTATACTAATCAAACTGTGATGCCCCTATATGCCTCTATAGGGGCATTATTAACATACTTAATTGTAAAGTGAAACAAATGATCAATTTAAATACATGTTGTTAAAAAGGAAGCTTACCTACGACTTGCAAATAACCCTGTCGACTTCTCATCGGGTCTGTGTTCACTTGACACATGTACCATCCACGATCCACTTCCTCGACCTTCTTTATATGAAGGTACCATGTACGATGGTCGTTGTAGGTCAACGAGATCCGTGGGTTCTGTGTGATGACTTTATGGTGGATGGACAAGATAGTTTGTGTATCGACACGTACCCATGCCACCTAAAACAAACACATGATACCCATTTATAGCGTACAGGACAGAGTAACGTTTCCTTAAAATGTTACGCAATTTGTTATAAAAGTTAATGTTTTAATATCTATATTAATAAAATATAGTACTTTATCATATTATTAACTCTCACATAATGGCTAACTATGACAGCAACATTGTAAATTGAATTTTTTAATTTTTTTAATATCTATTTTCTAACTAGAGAAATGTATTTTTTGGGACACTAATTTCGTTTAAATTAACACTGTTGAATATTGTAAAAAAATTTATAATTTTGCAAAATTTTAACAATCGTTTCAAAATAAATCAGAAATTCACAGATTTTTTATTTTTATTTAGCCATTTGAATCATATTAAATACACAGTTCACTATATCCTTATAATAAACTAATAGACTGATGAAGGTATTGCTTTATATTACAGTTCTTCTACCCTTCCACCCGCCCTTCTAAATTTGGTGTCAATCGATCACCAAGAACACTCGGAACGACAGCCAGTTACAATAAATAAATAAAAATAATTAACAGATTTAAGTTTTACTTGTAATTTTTTAAAATATCTCTTTCATTTTAATATGTTAAACATTTATTACATTTTAATATTCTTAATGTTTATAATATTTTAATATATTTAATTCAGTTATTATGCAGGCCCATATTTTCGTGGATATTTATCCTTAATATGTTTTAGTTAATGTGAAAGCATATCGTAGAAAATGAAAACACCTAATGGAAGTAAACTCAAGGTATGCTCTGTGTACCTAGTTATATAGGAAAAGTCATTTATCTTCGTCAATTGATTACCTACTTCACCACTTACGTTATTAAAAATTGTTCCTCACTGAAAGATGAGTGAATATTTTTTTCTGTATCTACACGTTTCGTTTTTAACACGATGAAATAATTTAAAATATAATTAAATATTATTTGATAAATAATGTTCGTAAAGTTTTACAAAGAATGATCAAGTTTCCAGTAATATATAAATATACATAAACATTGTTCTCGATATGGTTTTTTTTAATAACATTTTTTCGAAAATGATGAAAGCAATGCCACTGCACCTACTTGCGATCAATAATAGAATAAAATATAAATGTTCTTTCAAATAAAAATATTCCAAAAATTAATTAAGTAACAAATTATTTTATTTTTATTTTCCAATCCTTGACATCAGGTATTAAGTCATAATGTTACCAACAATTTGACACTGGATAGGTCCCTCCATCAGGGTTTGACTTTTACACTACTTTCAAGTGTAAATTGAAATAATTTGACACTTTCTTTTATTCAAAAAATTATTTTGATTGTCTTGTATATGTGAATACTTATGTGATATTAAAAGTACGATGAGAAAAGTAATTCTAATACATTGACAGTGATGGTCGTCACCAGTGATTTATGTTATAAGCACCTATTTAATCAATTAATTACAAAACAAAAAAGAAGAGGAATTCTAAGTATTATTAGCGCTTTATTTACAATAGAAAGAGGCAACATGAATAAAGAAACTAAAAAATTCTTATTAAATTGCTATGAAAATTCTTACCAAGCTAAATGGTAGAATGGTATAAACTTTTGAAAATAAACCACAGAAAATTTGCTTTTCAAAATTTTTCTTCATAAAAATGAATTATGTAATTATTATTTACTCCAAAATCAATGATACATATTATTTTCTATTATTAGGTATACACATTAATTCTGTACTTTTTTTTTTATTTAATTGAAGATTTATTTTTAAACATTTATGGTAATTCCGATTATTGATGTAATCATTATTGTTATCATATCCTCATACCAATTTTCAAATACACAGAAGCGCGGGAAAATATTCAAATTTAAAATAGTCATTAAAAAAGCGTAATATTAAAAACACTAAATTGATTTGTACACCTAATAAATCATTTCTTTGAAAGTTTTTATTTATAATGACTGTTACGTTAACGTGATAATAAAAGTTTTAAACAATTTATGTGCTCTATTTCTTTATTGCTTAAAATTTGTTATATATTTGCTGCCAATAACAGAAAAATAAAATTCTTAAAATTGGATAATAATTTCTTTAAAGGAAGAAATGAAAAAAACATGATCTTGGGGCGTGTTTTAAAATTGCTTGTATACACGTTTCCGATGCATTTGCTCGTGCCGTTTTCCATCGAAGAGCTTTGAACACTCTATTCCTATAATATCGTTTTATTCTTATCGTTTACTTAATTCAATATACTGGCTGGCTTGTATTCCATATCCTCCATAGATCTTCGAAGCCTTTACAGGATATGGAGCATAGAAAAGTAAGTATAAAAAGGCTTAGGTAAGTACCTATACGTTTCCGCCTTTTCGTCGCACAGATTTCAACGTGGACAAATATGCATAAGTGTGTCAGATGATTTGTCAACGTATCAATCCAATTAAAAATGTTTTAAATAAATTATAATGTTATTCAACACCAAAAATTTCTAAACAAATGATAATAATATAAAATAATATTCTTTATTGCTTTTGAAGTGTATAATTATGTACAAAATATACAGGATGATTCGCTTGAAACAGGTCATTTAATATCCATGTGCATTTATGGATGTCCTTGAAAACAACTACTAAAATTTGATATTCATCAAAAAATTTCTGGCAGTTGATTAGTCTTTTAAAGCAAGTGAAATTATATAAAAAATTTTTCTGGCAATATAACAAACAGAAAATATATTAGGGTGGCCTGTTTTAAGCAAAACACCCTGTATATGCAAAGAATATAATTATATATAGTGATAAACATATCAAATAGGGAATCTCCCTCTAATCACCTTGACCTTGATACATGTTAGAGATGTCATTCTGCTAAGAAACTTTTCCTAATAAATTAACAGTCAGCCATTGTTTATTTATAAGTTACTTACAAAAAAGTTTCATTCAAAGAAGATATCTAATCTAACCTAACCTAACCTAATCCAAAGCCGAAATGTTTTTAGGTTAGTTATATTTGACACATAAAACAATGAATAGGCGTGGGTTGGGCGAAATCCCCACCCATTAAAACACTTTTACCTAACCTAACATAATTTCTATTTTTCAATTATACTTGTGAGAAATAAAAACGAAGTTAAAGTTAGATTAGTGTAGTGTTTTAAGGAGTAATGCAGGCTATATATTGACTTCAGTACTAAACCATGTAACTGATATAAAACCATTGTAACTTTGATTTAGGTTAGATTAGATATTTATTGAATGAAACCTTTTTGTTAATAACTTAATAATAAAGAATTTATTCAGAATTGTGATCTCTGTAATATCTAGAAGGGAGTTCCCTATTCAGTATATTTGTTATTACAATCGTATAGGGAATATAATTTATATGATTAGCCATTTTTACGAAGATATTTCTTATTCATTTTCAAAATTTTTTACCATTCCTCTTTTAAAGTTATTTTTCTCGAAAATGAAGCAAGCTTACTCCACAATTCCGATTTATTTTAGCACGAGGTATCACTATTTTCCCTGTTTATACCCTGGATAAAAGAATGAAAACTGTTTTGAATAACAATAACCGTGCCCTATAAAGAACTTTTTTCAACACCTAATGAATAGCTGCTGGAAGGTAAAGAAGATTATAAACCCAGGCTAATACGATTTCGAATATTCGTTTATGCAAATTTATCCACCTCCTCTTGCCATTAGTTCCGACTTACGCCGTTTCTTCGGCGATAAGAAACAGTCTGTATAATTTTTACTTAAGGTCCGTACTTTTTTCTCTTCATTCTTGATGGCTACGTCTGGAGAATATCAGGCAGGAAAATTGTAGGCAGTTAGGCGTTCAGGGTATACCGGATCTGGTAGAAGGATCGTGTGAACCAGCGTCGTTACCGTATTACTTTAATAATTCAACGTGACACGATCCGTGATGTATTTCCATTGGCGTAACGAACGAGGTAGCTTGCTGAAGTTGACGTTGTTGCGAGTCATGGTTAGAATTACCAAGCTTCGCTGCTTCATGTTTAATTCGCAAGCGGAGCGTAAAAAAGCTTTGCTTAATGATGAAGTCTAACGAGTAACTTATTTGTCCGAGAATACACGATTGTTTGGGATAGATAGGCGACCCAACTTTGCAGAAATTTCCAACCAGCGGAAAAACGCTCGTGTTTTGGTTCAAATAGTAAAGATTTTAATGTATATTTATTCAATTCACACATTATAAGGAATTCGAGAAGGTTGAACTGGGGGTAATAAAAAAAGTGAAGTATGGCAGGTTGAACTTAAATTATCGGTAAATAATCAGTAACTACTGTTCAGCGATCACAAGAAGTTCACACATATCACACACCTCAGATCACACGTACTTTCGATCGTAACGTATGATTGGCCGAAGTGATCACATCTACTACATAATTAATCTCGTGTAAAACTAGGGGGTCAGTCGCCCCTCTAATAAAGATTTTGCGCTTTTAAATTTTTAAATTAATTTTCTAAATTTAAATTCCTTTAAATTATACAATTAATTTATAGTTTATCCCATAAATTATTTATATTTTCAAAAATAAAATTTTTTATTAAAATTTACTTTAAAAAATATATAAATTTAATTTAATTTAAAAAAAAACTAGATATCATTAAAATTGAATAACTTATAATTTTAATTTTACAAAAAAAATTTTATATATTTAACTCTTTTAATTTCGAGATATTTAATTAATTAAAAATTTTGTAATCAATCCTGATACAAAAGGTACAAAATCTTGCTTTATTTATTAAAATTCATTGTCTATGTTTTTTAACTCAATATTCGGATTGTTGACATTCATTTTCTGACCTCGAGTTTTGTCTATAGGTATCAAGATTGTGGACAGATCGTAATTATGACAGTAGATCGGGTAATGCTCGAATTTTAAAAAGCTATGAACTATATTTATCAAATCGTTAATGCATATTTCAAAAAGTCTTTTACGTTTCCATTTCTTTTTCAAAGTGCATTTGTAGTATTTATTAACTGTTTTACAAATAGATAAACTTTGATTTGTTAATATTTTGGTCAAGTAAAATCGTACAGTATTCCAACTTTATTACTTTCAGTATATTTATAATTTATCGTTAAATTCTATGTGGAATTTTAGAACACATCTTTGTTAATAATTAAAAATTTCTTCATATTTTCAATAAAATTTTATGTCAATTTTTTCATATTTAAGCTTTCATCAGTCCCAATGTTTATGAATATCATGATGAAAGCGTTTCAGCGAGCTATTTTTGTTTCAACATAGGTTGTATACAAATTTCAGCTTGTATTTAGTTTCATTTTCAAAATATTTGCGTTAAATAGAAGTTTTCATTTTCCTAGCTACGTTTTTCACTTTTAGTATGAGGAAGAAGAAACTTCTAAAACGATGCATGAAACATATTGAAATATTTAAAACTCATTTCAACTTTATAAATGAGATACCAACTCCTAATCTTCTCATTTTTTACTTTTAATTTAAATTAACAAATGAAAATTTTGCCCTTTTAGATTTATTCAATATTTAAAAATTACCAAAATAGTATTGCCTTTTACTTTTACTTTTCCAATAGTTGTAACATGTGTTTAATAGTCACTATTTTTAAAATAATTTTAAAACAATCATAAAATAAAAAAATATCATACAATAAAAAAAGTCATTTATCTCGTATTAAGAATGTTTAAAATTTGCTAGCAATTTTAAAAGATAATGCAATAAAAATTATGTAATTATAAGGAAGTATAAAGATAAACATTACGTAATTGGTTGTTAATGTAAATGTTTAACAGAACTTATTTTCTTACCTGATAATTTCGTAGATTGTCCACTATACATGCCAACAAAGCATCTCGACCTCTGCTTACGGTCACATTTTGTATTTCTTCAGCAAACCTAGGCAAATCCGAATCTGAAAAATAAAATTTAAAAGCAGTATTAATTGCAAGACGAAAACTTGTGTGTTTAATTTGAACTATAGAAATAGATAAGTAATTTTCAAATGATTATTTATCTATTTCTTATTCAAGCGTATAAATGATATTCCATAGTTTACTTTCATACAAATTATATGCAATTTTTTTAAATCACCTTTTTATTTTTTATTTTCATTATACAAATTATATTTATTGTAAGGATGGTCGAAATAGCTTGAGAATAGTTTTATTTGAAAATTGAATGATGCTGCGATTTTACGTGTTCGTTCGCAACGAGAGGCATAGCCGAACTGCCTCGACGCGTTCCCGTGCTTTCTCGAAAAAGCGTTAATAACAAAACACTGTCAACGGCCGGTCCGGACTCGCCTTCGACGCAATAACGGCTACAGGTGCCCTCAAAAAGGAAGTGGCTTACATTATTTAACCATCAATTTTTTAAATTAAAATCTTTAACTCCTTTTATTTAATCTATATTCTAATACTATTCCTATTTGTTATAATTGTTAAATTCATTTTTTTTTTTTTTATTAAGCTTTCAAATCATAATACAGATTTATTTGCTTTTCGGAGTGAAAAAAAGAAAAAAGAAAAAAAGGAAGAAAAAATTATACAAACAATTCATACTTTAAGATTACAACTTTTAAGAAAAGAAACGATACAAGTACTTACTTACACGCTGCAATATGGGGTTCCCTGAGTAACAGAGTCATTTTTAAAGGCAACTGAAGCTTAAGATCTAAAAGTTCCTTAATTAATTTGTGCCTTTGAGAGTCGTATAGAGGACATTGCCAGACGATATGGTCAATGTCTTGAAGGCTATTTGAACATGTACATTTTAGGTCGAATACTATGGAGACTCGAGCGAGAGACGCAGCCAGGTTATAATGATCAGCTCTGCAGCGATTGATTCTGAATAGAAAAGCTTTCTATTGTAAAACCAGGGTTTCGTTTATCAATGAATATATAGATTACTAAATTAAATTTTCTAAATGTATGGATTAAAATTTAATCTGATTTTAAGTAGAAATTAATTGTAAAAATCACTTCATGTATAGTTAGAAAAGAGGGAAGAAATGTTACAGAAAAAATAATCAACTTTTAATATTTTGTAACTAATGAATTATTGAAGCTGCTTTCTCAATTTTTCTAAAATTGAAAGGGTTTTCCCCTTCATAGTGGATAATAATAACTATCATTACACACAGGAATAAAATTTATACAAATTATTTCACTATTTATTTTTGCACTTTGATGACGTCAGTGCTTGTAATGAAACTTCCAAATGCATCAATAATTGATACGATCATTAAATTAATAAATGTTAAATAGAAAACAGGAAAATTCATGTTTATTTTATTTCTATAAAATAATGTGTGTATCTTATAGAATTGCTAGACTTTGTTATTAATAATACCTGCTATTATAGAATTACTGGAAAACAATAATTTCAGTTCACAAGTTAAGCGTTATGAGGCAGTCAATTTGTAAAAGTTTCTAATTACTACTAATTTCTATCATTGTCATCAAAATAAATTTAACATCTCTGTATAATAATACTGCAACAGCTCGTTAACGAGTACTAGAGGGTTCATGGTAAAGATGCTACAAGAATCTTGTAAAAATTAAAAGGTGGAGGTTACCTGTAGGTAAATACAGAAGATCATAATTACCAGAAAAAGATTCACGGTTCGGAGGAAAACGTCGGCATCGAACGTAAATACATGTATCGTTGGACAATGAACCGGCTGCAGAGATTGCGAGTTATTATCGTAAGAGCTGCATAACGAGTTCAGGACTCAGCCAGACCGCCCTTAAAAGCTTTTACCTTCGTTAATGTCTTTACGACGTCCTGAGCACCTGAATTATTTATATATCCAAAGAACCCATGGGGAACGAGAAATAGAGGAAGATGGAACAAAATAATAGGGAAATGTGGTGAAGAGAAGAAAGAAGAACGACCAGCATCAGGGATAAGACTGAACTACTTTCAACTCTTTTTATAGCGACAGCACAAAATGAGGGGTATCCTTAATTACGTCAGTCATACTTCATTATGCAGTGAATCGCCACGTTAATTATAATGCCTACAACAACGAATGCAGAGAATGAGTCGAGGGATATCGTCAGATAAGAAGTTTCTCTAATAAGTTGCCAATATATTTGATATGCTGATAAGAGACGTTTATTGCAGAATGGTAGAAGATACCTGGTAGTACTATTACGTTCTTATTAAATTATTTTGATGACTATAATCACAATAAAAACTGAATGTACAGTAGACTTTCCTTTAAAAAATATAGGAAATGAGGCCTTATTAAGTACTCGTTCTTAGATTTATTCTACTATTAACTTAGAACTACTATTAACACGTTGACTGCCACGGTCTAAAAGAGAAAGGTCAAATGCGCGCGTAGACACAAATAATAAGTAAAGAAAGTAACGGGATGTCTCGTAGTTGGCAGTCAGTGTTAAAGTAGAAACTTTAAAATTTTGGCATATTAGGATTTTAGATTTTTGGAATTTCGGAGCTTTGGAATTTTGGAATTTTGGAACTTTGCAACTTTGAAATTTTTGAATTTTTGAATTTTTGAATTTTGAAATTCTAGGATTTTATTCTCTAAGAATTGTTAAATGATAATCTAGCCAGCCCACACTTTTGGCGGGAAGGGCAGGTTCCTACTAGTTACTTCACTGTTCGAGTATTTCCAAATCTGTTACCGCGACAATTTTGCTCTACGCAAAATCAACAGGTTTTCTATTCGAACGTGTACAATACGTGACCACAGAGATTTCAAATCGATATTTCAATTCATCACCATGACCAATATCGTTTCGGTCCCGTATAGGTTAGGTTTGCTTTCACCGGAATGCGGATAGATACGCTTTTGTAACGGTACTATAGGATATATAGACTTCTTCCAATCTCGAAAGATGGGTAAGTTCGTTTTTATTTTCACATGCACGGATACTCAGCTAACAATAAGTAAACTTGGAAAGTATTTTTCATCTGGGAGAAAGGAATAGTTACTTGAAAAGCGCAACATTGAACAATGTATGTTTTGTTTAGAAAAGGGTTTAAAAGAATGTTGAATGCAATGAATATGGCAGTATTCCATAGACTTATTTGGAGAAGATGGCCATATAAGAAAAGAAGGCTCCATCACCAACGGACAAATCTTTATACATACTGTTATTCTAGGTCAAATATGGTATTAATGATACTTCTAACCCTTTTGCTACGAATGACGTATATGTACGCATTGAAAAGGGAACTCTTAATTCTGAATATTAACCGTATATTGCCATTAATCGATACCAGGGTAGGATGTATATTTCAATGGGCCCCAGAGTGTAATAACAATAAAGCCTAAGGTTTATTAGAGCAGTGGTCCTTAATCAGAGGTCCGCAGATCATCGTAAACTTAGAGAAAGTGTTCCGCCAAAATATCCGATTAAAAAAATTGTGACAACTTTTTGACGTTTCTTTTTTTTTGCTATTGATTTTTATTTATTGTGCAATATAAAAAATATATATAGTGTTTTATTTCATGACTGTGTTCCGCAAAAATCTTGTAAAATCGTAAATGTTCTATGATTTTGAAAAGATTAGGAACCACTGGCTTAGAGATTTATGTCCAGCATTTTTAAAGTGACAAAGGAGCATTTTTTAACAATTTCAAAGATATTGTACATAGATCTTCAAATCAGGGCCTTTGAAAGAATAATACATATTATTTGCAAAATATAGGGTATTATGTACAATATAATAAAAGACCATAAAAAACAAAATACTTGTTTCTGAAAAATTAAATTAAATAACAGAAAAATATATACTTTTTGTTAACAGTTATTTATTATATTGCCAAACGAACTTTGTCGTTTGAGTAGGTTGGTGGCACCCTCAATTGAGAATAGAGCCCTAGGCTTCTGCCTATTCTAATAACTTCTAAAAGTGTATAAATAAGTAACAAATAACTAATTTACCAAATTTTAATTGTTAAAATACCACGGCTATCTCACATATGTATGGTGAACGATTTTCAGTTAAAGTATGCTATAGCAGAAAAATTAACGGATCTCCAAAGTTCTACTAATAACAAAATTTTGTCAAGGTGACAAAAAAAAATACACCAACTACATTCTTCAAATAGGTACTTACATAAAATGTACTGCTTCATGTATTTTTATTTTACTAGAAAAAGCTATAGAACAGGCGTCGGCAACTTTTTTTGGTTACGGGTCAAAATCTTTCAAAATGTGATTATTAAGAAGACGTTTTGGGTCAGTGGTATTTTCATTTTAAAACAGTCTTTTTTGGTGAAAAATAAGATAAATTTTATTGAGAATATAATTACAATTCCTTTTAAACTTTAACCATAAAAATTCAAAATTATAATTCTAATTATTATAAAAACAAACATAATTGAATGAAATTTATTTATAAACGTTCTTTTCGATATCAATGGCTCCCGTGATGCTGAATATGTGACGTCAATTTAGTTAAATTTGGCTTATAGTTATCATTAACGGATGGTTTCCGCACAATAAAACCTAATGCATTCGACTCCGCTAGCGGAGATCTATCGATTGACACCACTTCCGTTCCGATCGGAACACTGGCCCATACGGAAGGTAGCCTTTTCGAAACTCAAGTGGGTCACTTGAAATTATATTATCAAATGGGTCACTCGGTGACCCGCGGGTTATAGGTTACCGACGCCTGTTATAGAATAAACCTATAGCCATGAATCATTCGCACTTCAGTTTTAAAGTTTACGAGAGACTCTCGTTATATTATTACGTGAGTGATTTTACCTTTACAAGGATTTTCTTCTACCACCATAGCTTATAAAAATGACGTAGTTTATTAAGAAAAATTGTCAATTCCTTTAATTAATTGTCCCGCCCGCGGCAATGTAACTAGAGCTTACTGTAACTATTTACAGATTAAGTAGTAGAAGTCAACGATAAAGTA